TTATGTTCTCTTTGTTTAATTTTTTTTTTATTTGGATGCCAAGAAACTTTCTGCTGAGTGTCTTTGGCACCCTACAACTAGGCATACATATGCGTAGGTTAAAGGAAAGGATCCACTTACTGGCATATGGCATGATCCTGATCAGATATCTAATATGGGGAAGAGGGCATATTTGTGTTTTTTTTCTGCAGGATGCTGAAGGAGCATGGTAGCAGCCAGAGCAACGGGTGAGACATGCTGATGCCAGGACAAAGAAGGATGCTGACCTGTGAGCTTGCTGAGTGTTCTTACAATGGTGACTGGGAAGCTGTATTGGACATATGCTCCCAACCCACCTTTGCTTACCTATACCCCTGATGGGACAAGCTGCCTTGCCTCAAGTTTTTAGATCTTGTGGAACAGAGAATCAAAAAGAGTTTTAATGACTCTTGTATTTTTCTTAAAGGTGACCAGTTATTTGGACTCAATCATGGACTGGTCTAGAAATCAATTCAATATTGAAAATAACAGTCTTCATTTGGGAGGCTGGTTCTGGACATTTTCAGAGACATATTTGGAAGTTAGCTGCAGTTCTCTATGATGTTATGCTAGCAAGAGATAAAGTTGGAACAGGATCTGGATTTCAAACACGTGTTAATATATGTGTTAAGGCTATTTTAATTGTCAAGTTGAAATTACTTTTGTTTCTTCTACAGTATTTAATGTAAGTTGCATTGATTGCACTCTTTCTAATTGTGTTAGTGTGTTGAAACCTGGCATGTCTGTTATGGAAGTCTATCAAATAGCTTTTGTTTTATCGACCTGAATATCACAGAACCTTGGTATTCAGAAAAAAAGTTTGCAAGTACTGGAAGAAGCGAGTCAGTCTTTAAGCAGCAGTAAGAGGGTAGTGGGCTTGATAATTGCTGGTATAACAGCTTTAATTGCATTAATTGCTAACACCACTGCTTCTGCAACTGCTTTGACACACTTTTGTTAGTCATTTAGTAAAAAATGTTACTAATCTGTTAATATACAAGAGGATTTAGATAGGCATTTGGAACAACAGATTGATGCTCTTTATCCTATTCAAATTATTGGAAGGAAGGTCCGAGTTTAAGAGGAAAAATGTGTTTTAATGTGGAGGAAACTCTGCCAAATAACAGAATGCATGAGCAACTTGCCTGTTTGTTCTTTCCAGGCCAGGCCAGTAGGTGGCTCTCTTCTTCTCTAAATTTTTCTTATAATTGAAGATTTGGTTTCCTTTTCATTTCTCTCTTTCTTTCCTTCCTTTCTTCTTTCTTTCCTTCTTTCTTCCTTTCTTCCTCTTCTTTCTTTCTTTCCTTTCCTTCTCTTTTGTTCTGTCTTTCCTCTTTATTTATTTTTCCTTTTCATTTTTTGTTGAAACAGTGATCATTAGGTCATTAGAAGAACATTGTCAAGCTCTATACCCCATTTTTTAATAGGGTTATTTGGTTGTCTGGAGTCTAATTTCTTGAGTTCTTTGTATATATTGGATATTAGCCCTCCATTAGATGTAGGATTGGTAAAGATCTTTTCCCAGTTTGTTGGTTGTCGTTTTGTCCTTTTGACAGTGTTCTTTGCCTTACAGAAACTTTGCAATTTTATGAAGTCCCATCAAGAATTTTTCAATTGTTGATCTTAGAGAATATGCCATTGGTGTTCTGTTCAGGAACTTTTCCCCTGTGCCCAAGTATTCAAGGCTCTTCCCCACCTTCTCTTCTATTAGTTACAGTGTATCTGGTTTTATGTGGAGGTCCTTTATCCACTTAGACTTGAGCTTTGTACAAGGAGATAAGAATGGATCAATTTTCATTCTTCTACATGTTGTCCTCCAGTTGAACCAGCACCATTTGTTGAAAATGCTGTCCTTTTTCCACTGGACAGTTTTAGCTCCTTTGTCAAAGATCAAGTGACCATAGGTGTGTGGGTTCATTTCTGGGTCTTCAATTCTATTCCATTGATCTTCCTGCCTGTCTGTGTACCAATACCAAGTAGTTTTTATCACTATTGCTCTGTAGTACAGCTTGAGGTCAGGGATGGTGATTCCTCCAGAAGTTCTTTTATTGTTAAGAGTAGTTTTCGCTATCCTGGGTTTTTTGTTATTCCATATGAATTTGAGAATTTCCTTTTCTAACTCTGTGAAGAATTGAGTTGGGATTTTAATGGGAATTGCATTGAATCTGTAGATTGCTTTTGGCAAGATGGCCATTTTTATTATATTAATCCTGCCAATCCATGAGCATGGGAGAAGGTCTAAACTTAAGAGGAAATTCTTATACATGAGAGTTTCACTCAAACATTGAACTCTTTCATTCTGTTTTCAATGGTGGCTATATGTTTTCAGAAAAAACTCCTGTGAGGAATCAAGATATAATAGACAACAACTGTACAGTGAGCAGAGCTGAGAATGAGGAGAGAATGAAGAACACACACCAGAGATTCCTGCATCAGGGAGGGGAAAACAAGAGCTTGCAGGCTGGAAAATGGGTTCTGGGACAACAGGGAGGTCCTGGGACTCTATCAGAGAGAAATCTGTGTGTGTGTCTGTGTGTCTGTGTGTGTGTGTGTATGATTATTTTAATAATTTTATATATATATATATATATATATATATATATATATATATATATACTTACTTAATGGTATTATAAATCATATGTACAAGACATCATGCATAATATATACATTTGTTTATAATTCCACTTTCAGTTTCAGTCTAACACACTCGTGCCCATATAGTATATTTGTCAGCTATCAATTCTTATTGAGTATTGAATTTGGTGACTAATCTTCCATGTCCAATGTATCTAACAACAGAAGTGTTCCATTAATTGTGACAGACAACAAGGGCTTTCAGTGCCTCAACTGTCTGTACTTTGCCATTTCCCTTTCATCTTTACTAAGGTGTTGGTCTGATGGTTGAAGTCTCCAATTCTGTTCTCTCTTCTCTACTTTCCTAGAAAGTAAACACTGAAGTTGGTTTGTGGCACTGAACCAAAAATATGATGCCATTGAAAATTAAAGCTGAAAAAGGAACTGATGTGTCATGTAATTGACAAAATAGTAGCAAAAATGTTAGCTACTAAGATAAAAAAGACAAGATCTATGATCATTAATAAGATAAAGTTATGAAAGTAGCTATATTTTCAGATGATTTTTTGTGTCAATGCAATCCAATAAAACTTTCAGTAATATTTCTCTCAGAAGTATCATATCTAAAGTACAAGTGGAGCAATGAAGATAAAAAAGAATTAAACAGTGCTGTGTTTAGACTGTCACAATACCTGATTTGAAAGCAGAGCTTACATTATAGAGAGGGTTCCTGCACTGGCCAACACTTACCATAGAACAGTTCATTCCAATGAACAGAGAGACACACAACTGGTCACTGAGCAGAAAATAAAGGGCTGATTTCCTGGCCTCAAGAATCATTGAAGAAGAGGTAGTAGAAGAATAGTAAAAGCCAGAATCAGTGGATGGCTGCAGTAAAGTCCTGTTCTTGAACACAGCAGGGTAGTTACTCATGTGGACTGAGAGTGGCTATAATTGAATGTACAAGACCAAGCCAGACAAAATATCAGCTTGGAAAATGGTGGCAATTCCACCTCTAGCTCAGGAACTATGACAACTGATGACTACTTGGAGAAAGAGATTTAGATGTCCTCAGGGATGGGGCCCCTGATAGCTGCTACCCATGCTCCACGAGATGGTGCTATACCATGAACAGCTAGTAGTTCAAAGGAGATGGAGCAAAAGTAGCAGGATGAGGAGGAGGGTGAGAAGGAGGAGGAGGATTAGGAGGAGGAGGAGGAGGGTGAGGAGGAGACGGAGGAGGAGGAGGAGGGTGAGGAGGAGACGGAGGAGGAGGAGGAGGAGGAGGAGGAGGAGGAGGGTGAGGAGGAGGGGAAAGGTGAGAAGGAGAAGGAGGAAGAGGGGAGGAGGAAGAGGAGAGGGAGGAGGAGGAGGAGGCGGAGGAGGAAGAGGAGGAGGAGGAGGAAGAGGAATTGGAGAAGGAGGAAGCAGAGGAGGAGAGGCTGGAACAATAACAGAAAGAGAAGTAGAAATTGGGAAGAGAAAGGGTCCAGGAAATAGAGAAGGAACAATGGTATTTCAAACGGTTAATTTCAGAGTCATTTAACTTCCCTTGTGGGATTTATTCCCAGAATTGGTTTATGAAACAATTATGAGTAGAATTAATTCCCTGGTTCTTCTTGTCTTGCTTTTCTGTGCTATATAGGCACTCTAATCATTTTTCTTGATCTGTTTTGCATTGCTGTACAAGATCTCACTCATATTTAAGAACCCAAAACAAATAAACTCATTAACAGTAAGAGTAGATGATAGGTATATGATATCAGGGAAGTCAGATGGTGAATTAATCAAGGAAATATTTGATTAAAGTGGACTAAGTAACATAACAGGAACAAGAATCTATGGCTTTCTCCTGAACAGCATCCTCTCTGTACATCCAGAAGAATACTGCGTACTGGAGACAAGAACATGAAAATATTTAGGGTTTGTCTAAGTACTGTGCAGTGTATGTGCGTATACTCTGTGATATTTGAAACTGTTTATTTGTACAATACTTATAGTGTACACTTTAATGTTAAAAATATTTGATAATGTTATAGAGATAGCAAATTAACTAATCCACAGTGTCTTATAAAGCAAATTTATTTGAATACAAAAGAAGTTAATTACAAATGATAATTTGCTACATTTAAAAATGTAAGACTGAAAGAGTTAACACAGATACCTTAAATTATATTAATAGCATAATAAATAAATATATAAATAAGTAAATAAATAAATAAGAACAAATTGGTGCAGATACAAAAATGGTTTTACATACTTAAAATATTTGCTGAGTATTTCTGAAACATCTAGACAGGTTGATTGTATTCATACTGAAAGTAATGAGAGTTTTTAAAGGAGAGCTTATAATGTGAGATTCAGTGTCCCAGCCTAGGAGAGTCTTCTCCACTTTGTCTCAGGACTCACTCTTTCTCCTCATTCAGCCTTGCCATCAACTTGGCTGAGGAAGACAGGGCTCTCCAGACTTCTGCTCTGACCACCTCCCAGGCACAGAGACTGTTTTCTTTCTTTCTCAAATACACAGTGATCCTGTGGAAGTATTTCTTCACAGCTGGCTGAAAGTCTTCCTGGGTCAGGGGATGTTCCTGCACCCCCACCTGCTGCATCAGACAGGCTTTGAGCTCCTTGAGATCATCACAGAAGGAGTCTAGGAGGGTTGCATTCCAGGCAGCAGATGACTCATCTGATGTGAAGAGATTCAACACCTGCTCAGTCAGATCATGCAGGACAGGGATGGCTTGAGCCTTCTGGATCTGCTGGGCATCCACCTTCTCCAGGGGGAATCCAAAGTCCTTTCTGTCCTTCAGACAGGAGATGGGGGAGAGTCTTCTCATTTGCTTCAGAAGTGTCAAGACCGTTGTCTTGTTCCTGGAGTTATGAGTCTGAGGCAGGTCACATCCTAGACAGCAGGTTGACCAGTAGCTCATCACTGCCAGGACCATCAGGAAAGCACAGAGCCTAGCCATGGTGAATGTTGCCAATGCTTCTGATCTTCTGGGCCGTTTGGTCCTGATCCTTCCCCTCTAGGTTCTCTGAAGACCATCTTGTGAGGATGTGTCTTAAATAGGGCAAACTGTAGTTTTGACTTTCTGAATGCCCTCCCCTAACTTTCCAATTGTCCTTTCACTTTCTTTAACTCATCCTCTGCTTGCATCTGAGAGTTTTTCTAAACAATTGTGGTTTTCTTTATTGCTTCCTCTTTTGCTGCTCCCCACCAAAAGCTGTTTTATAACATTTCTTTTCTCATTTGAATTTTCATTAACTGTGACAGCACTGATAATCTGTCTTCATTTGAAATTTATATATGTATTGTAGATCAAAATTTCCTGTAAAATACTTTATAAACGTTAATAACATTGATTTTACAATTAATTTTAGTTTTATTTATATTGCTTTATAAAGTACTTAAATCATAATATAATATATAAGAGCAAATTTCTCTCAATTAATATTCATTGATTTAAAGGTATACTTTAAAATGTCTCAATATTTAAAGTACTAAAATTGGGATCTTCAAGTACCTTCAATAAATGTAATATAAATTTATATAAAACTTAATTTAAAATCACAATGTGTTAGCTGTTTATCTGATGTTTTAGTGCCATCAGGAGGATGCAGGATGCAAAACTGCTTGCTGTTAAACTTGAGTGTGATCCGTGGAACCCACAGATGCAGTGGAGAACCAGTGCATCCAGTGCATGTACTGGAGTCCTCATCACAACATTCACAACATTGCATGCTGTGCATGCTCTCTCTCTCTCTCTCTCTCTCTCTCTCTCTCTCTCTCTCTCTCTCTCCCTCTCTCTCTCTCTCTCATTCACATAATACAATCACACACAACCATACATTCACACATTCACTCATTCGTGACAAAGGCACCTCATGTGTGCTGTGAACTTCTGTCTGAATTTTATTTGACATACTGAAATCTTCAAGTCCAAGATTTCTTCTCTGTGTTTATAGCACCTTTTCCCTGATTTTCGCTCTTATTGTATAAATGTTATTGTGATTTTATTTGTTATATTTGTTCATTATCTTGTAGATATTATAGACTATCGATTTCAAATCCTTTTCAAGCAATTAAGCACTTTGCTTTTCCTCTCAGAAATCTACAAGGGTCTTACATACTCTTAGCTGCAAAACATCTGACAAAAGAAATCTTGGTTGATTTATGAAACCAACCCACCAATATTCACACCACTGTGTCTTCTTGGAGACCCTCATTTTTTTTCTTTCCCTTTGTGTCATTTCACAGGGTTGATAATCCGGCACAACTAGTTATAATGGATTGCGTCCATCTCAATACAGTGAAGAATCAGAAACTCGACCTTATTTATTCTATTTCCTCAAGCAAACAGCACAATCTGTCTTTTTTACAAGTGAAATATCGGTGTCATTATTTGTCCCCTATTTTTTCTGATGTCACTATGGCTCATACTTTTTCAAACAAAAATATTGTAAACTGTTGAGACTTATTTAATAATTAAAACAGGCAATGGGGAGATATCTAGGTCAGGAAATTTCTTGCACAAAATGAAGAAGTAGCTTATTGGTTTCTCAAAATCCATGTAAAGGCCTGTAGAGGAGTGCATGTCTGTACTCTTGACACTGAAGAGGAGACACAGACATGTACCTGAAATACTGTACCAGTCAGTGTTTTTCAGTGGTTGAATTTATAGAAAGAATTTCTTTTACTCTCTCTATATATGCGTGTATGTATATATATGAAATACACAGACACAAGTGTACTATATGTGTGGTATTAGAAAGGCTTACAGAATTCAGTCCAACTATTTCAGAAAATATCTGCCTATCAGCGTAAGTTCAAAGAATCCAGTAATTGTTCACTAGGGTAGATTTCTTAGCTGATATTCACTATGTGCCAGAGTCCAATAAAATTAGGCTCTAAACCCAGTGAAGGAATGGATTGCTAGCAAGGGAAAAGCACACAGGTAAACAGCAAATCATCTTTCCTTCATGTACTTACACAGGTTTCCAGCAGAAGGCCTGGCTCATAGTAGAGGTGAGTCTTCGCACCGTAAATAGCCAATTAAAGTTGTGTCTTGCCATTTTATAGATGCTGATTAGAAGTGGATTTTCCCACTCCAAGTTAAGCAAAACTAGATCACAGGTGTGTGCCTACCTTTTAGGCTTTCAGTTATTTCACATTTAGTCATGTTGGCATCCAAGGACGTCCATCACAAGCTCACGGGCCAGTCAGTCTGACAGCAAAGGTGATCTCTCACTTAAGTGAGAGAACCTGTCACAGAAAATGAGGTCAAAACCTGATGTTGATTGACATCTGACCCCACTGTATACACATGTAAATGTGAACACACAGCATGTGTGTACATTGAGGATTTTATAATCTAAAACATGTAACAAGTCTATGTTGCAGTTAATTAATTTTTTATTATCCACAAAGCGAGTACAAAGTCTATAGCAATACTGAATAATAAAAGAGCTGGTAGAGGTGTCACCAGCCTTGAACTCACAATGTATTACAGACCTATAATGATAAAAAGAGCATAGGTTTGGAATTTATACAGATAGTAAATCTATGGAATACAATAGAAGACCCAGCTACAATTCCTTACACATACTAAAATCTCATTTTTAGGAAAACGTACAATAGACAAAATGGAAAAAAAGAGACCATCTTTAACAAATGGTATTCATCTAATTGGATAGTTGCCTTTAAAAAAATGAAGATAAATCCATGTAAAATACTGAAATGTGTAGCATCAAGAACCTTGCTGTATGACGTGTGATACATTTAATCTGATAAAGGAGAATGTGCTGAATGTGTTCCAAATAATTGGCAATTGCAAAGAGTTTTAGGTATCCTGGCTTATCCATGTGCATGTCTATGTGGAAGACAGAGATGTGTGTCAAGTATGCACTATCACTCTCTTCTTGAGGCCTTCCTCCTGTGCCTTACACTGTCCTTGAAGCTCACTGATTTAGCTAGGATGTTGGCCAGATCATTGGGGTTTACTTCCTCACTTAATTAAGATGTTTCTTTGTCCTGCTATACATCAGTTGATACTGGTCACTGAAACTCAGGAATAGCAGACACAGAGAACTGGATATGGCCATTTTCACACTCTCAATCCTGAAGCTTGATAAACTTGGCAGTTGCCAGCTTACCTGGTGTTTTTGTACACAGATAAGTCTTCATGGACAGCAGTGTTCTGCTCCCTGACACCAAGGTCCTTTCTGTGTGAACTGTGTGTTCATAGAATCAAGTCTGTTTATGTGTGCAGGAATGATAGCTCAGTACGTTTTCACCTACTTCATTCTCCTGTCTCAGACCTTCCATTTATGTACCTTGATTCTCAAATTTTGTTTAATAAAAGCAAGTTATTGAATCAAAGGTGGGAAACACAATATGGCATTATGTATTTTCTGAGCAGGTTGGCATCTCTCCAGATTTCATAACATTTTTTTAATCATATAACCATGAAAGTTATGAAGATTATACTAAAAATAACCACCAAAGTATCAATAGAGGGCATCATATCTGAAACATGTTTAGCAGTCAGACCAGTAGCCATTTATCCAATAATTAAAATCCCCAACAAAGTCTACTTCAATTACCAGATCTGCAATTCACCTTGATATCACTTGATTTTCTGCAAATACACAGTTCACCAATATATGTCCCTATGATATATCATTGTTTTACTTATTCCTCCACTCCCTGTGATGACTCAGACATAGAAATACTCATGTTAGTATGTTCAACTCCCAAAGAGACAGAGACATTTTCTCCAGACCATGGAGTCAAGGAGTAGAACAAATATCAAGGAGGAATTGTTGTAATTGACAGCTTACTCTTAAGAAGGAACTGAAGTTCTGGCATTTCCTTGGCAGTTCTACATACTGATATATATTGCATTCCTCTGTTCAAGTGTCCTACAAAACTCAAAGAGGTTGAGGGGTCAAGAGCTCCTATGCGTTGAGCCATGCCCCTATAAGTCACAGATCTTTCCTCAATAAAAATATGACCTGAGTTATTCTACATCGATTTAGATTGACCATGGACACAGATTCACTTTGCACCACGTGGCTGTGCCACTGTGGAGTGGGTCACCTGAACTACATGAGGCCACATGTCAGAAGACAGCCATAGATCAGTGCATTTACCTAACTCACTGTTGCTGTCTCAGCAGGCAGAGCAGCAGTTGAAGAATCTCTACGATGGGTTCAGATGCTGTTTTACAGAATTCATAGCTCAGGGTGGGTGTTCTCAGCTTCACAATGCATTATCTACCGATCAAAACGATGTGAGTGTGGGTGTGAGTCACTACTAAGAGCACTGGACTCAGACCCCTCTTTCTCCAGAGAACTTCAGTTATAGAAGGCTAGAGAGAAAGACACAGAAGAGCTTTCTATAAATACTTATCTGTCCATTGTTCAGAAAACATGACCTGTGGACCTGAGAGGATTTCCCTTCCTAATATGAGTTTTAAGAAAATGCACCCTTCCAGACTGAAGTCAGTTCCTCTGGGGGAAAGGTCTGACTTTTCATGTAGAAGAAACTGCCGGGAAACAGAATTCATGAAGAACTTGCCAGAGTTGGATTCTGCTTGTTCTTTGCAGGCCTGGCCAGTAGGGGGCTCTCTTCTCTAAAATTTTCTCATAATTGAAGATTTGGTTCCCTTTTCCTTTCTTTCTTTCTACCTTCTTTCTTTCTTCTTTCATCATCCCATCCTTCCTCTTCTTTCTTTTCTTGTTCTTTCTTTTTCTGTCTTCTTTCTTTTCTTTTTTCTTTTTCTATATTGAAACAGTCAGCATTAGATCATTAGAAAAATGTCTAATGGTTAAAAGTAAGAGGAAATTCTTATACATGAGAGTTTCATTCAAACATTGAATTCCTTCATTCTGGTTTCAATGATGTTTATGTGTTTTAAAAAAAAAGAAAAAGAAAAAAAAAGAAAAAACCTCCAGTCAGGAAGCAAGA